TAAATAATAAAGAAAAATGACTTCTTTTGAATTATCCACGAGTCCACACCCAAATTTTACTGAGACTTTTAAATACCACAATATATTTCCCTAAAACTAAATTTTCACTCAATATGAATTTGATAGTAACAATGACAGTTGTTAAAAGCAAAGTACATGAAACTTACAATTTTTTTGTCCTCTTTTTGTATGACAAATTTCTATCTTCTTGGATGTCTGCATAAACTCAACTGCTTGCACCTAAGCTGTCTGTCTAATCAACTACTCATGCTAAGTGGTAAGTGGCAGTGCCTATTATTAATAGGGGTGTGTGGACTATACTATATGGTAGGGGTGACAGGTTATGTCCTTTACACAAAGTGATTAAAAAAAAAATAGAAAAATGAAGAAAAACGAGAAAATGAGACCGCAGGACAAGCGAATTTGTCCCAGACCACTGATGAATTATTTAAAGTAGAAGCCTTACGAGGTCGCGTCAGATTAAAAAGTTGATGCACAGTATCTTGTTTAGTGGAAATGAATTCCTTTTTGGTTAGAATATTAGGGCTCAAATAAAAACTAAACGCGGCGATATTAAAGGGAATAACTTAAGAGTAAAGGAAAAGAAGAAAATATATTAAGGTGTGTGTTAATGAAACAGAACACGCCTATTTAAATCAGACAGTACGATGGGAGTAGCAAACGCGACGAAGTTGAATTCTAATGGGATAGAATTAAGATATTTATAAAGAGACTATCTTAAAGTGATGTCATTAATTTTTTTATGGAATGTATAAAAAGATGCTCTTAAATTTCAATGCCATTGACGTTTGTTTTTAAACATGTACGCTAAGTCTTTTCTAGGACAATACTATTAGGAGTTCAACGGCGATATGGTTGTCCCTCATTTTCCCTCAGATACCGTAAAAGATTCACGTAAGTAAGTTTGGGTATTGATTAAAGGAATAATTTGAATTGGTTGTAGACTTGATATAAAACAACATGTAAAATTTGTTTGGTGAATATATTTTGTATGTATTATATTTTCCGATACCTGCTAATTTAGATAAATGTAAACATTATTCATTTTTTTGATACATCTTATGTTTATTAAGTAAATTCATTTCCGTTTATATTTTATGCATCTATTGACCTTAAGAATTTTACAGGTTGCGGAATGTTTGAAGAGATGCCAACAGCTGAGATATCTCACTTCACTGGTGAAAATTCGTGACAAGACGGAAAACTGCATTTAGAAATATTTTGTTGTTGACTTGAACAAAAATGCTGCACTAATTGATAAAATAGTTTATTTTTCCAGGTTAGCCAGACAGCGAATGAATTTTTCGTTGTTTGTCTACCCTTGTAATTTTGATATTCATCATAACGAGTTTTTATTTTTTGTTTTCAGGATATGACACTTAAATGGCATTCAATTTAATTTCAGGCAATACTAATTATTATTGCACCTTTTTCGGTTTAAGGCTCTTGAACGTACGGTCTGCGTAATTTCAGATGATGAATCATAATTCTTTTCATAAGAATACCCCTTCTGTTTTGCCCACTACCCCCTTGCAATGTCAAATATCGTCGAAAGTGCGCATGCACCTTTGAAGGTGACAAGCAAATATTAAGATTATGATTAATCTATCTTATTGGAAGTTCCTTCAATAAAATTATGTTTTTAGGGTTGCGAAGAATAAAATTGGAGAATAATTTCTCGATAAATTGCCTTAATTAAAGTCCTCATCACTGGCATTTCAATGATCTTCTTAAAATGATCTTGTTAGTTGATATTGTGATTATATTGGCAATCAAAAGATCGAGTGGGAAAAATGAGTTAATGAGAATAAATGATGCAAGGATAAATGGCCTTATGTGAATATTATTTGATATATTGTGAGGAATAAGATATCGATGTGGTTATGGATATAATTGAGTACGTGGAGTTGAGGTATAAAAGTGTGAGCATGACGTCATATAAATACTAAAATCTGGGACGCCAGATAAATATTAGCATCTTCTATTATTTTTATTATTAGCATAAGTATTTTTATTGGACATATTATCATATTATAAGCATGGTTTCATATATATGTTTAATTGTTATCATAATCTTTTGGATGAATTATACTATGGCAAGTTAAAATATTGCCTGTTAAACGTGACTGTATTCAAGTTTGATGACGATAGGCGAGGGGGATAGGCTCCCCGAAGCCCTGTCGTCAACAGGCGGCAGTAGAGTCGCAAGGCTCTGGGGGCACATTAAAGACGTGTTATAGTGGTGTGGGAGAAGACTGAAGGCCCATTGTGTCTCGAATCCTGAATTAACAGGATACTGTGGTACCGTCTAGTCGGCTCAGTGTGAATAACGGTTCACTGAGTGGTACGGGGACGACAGTCCCCACCTAGCCACGCGATGTTGATGCGGTTCCAACACGGTGGTGAACAGGCAAGGCAGGTGAAAACGGTCAAAGTTCCGATAACCCATGCCAGTGGGACCGGGATCAGACCGTCGGTTGTTCCCTGGGAGCCTGGTAAGCTCTACGGGACTGAGTGATCGCTATCGACTGGGTCACCTGCCGGTTGGGTCGCAAAAGGCAGTAAGGCTTAAGAATAGCAACCGCGCTCAGCTCAATGTACAGTCAGGCCCTAGCAAACTGAAAACGAATGAGCTAGTAAGTGAGCTAGTGGGAAAGGTACTCAGCCTAGGTTGCGCCCCTGGCAAGAGGGGAGACTGAAGAGTATAAGCGACGATTGTTATAATATACGTAGTGAAGTTTTTCTTGACATGCATTTCTGCTTCATTCGTTTTGGATATATTCGTAAACGCTGGACATGGCCATTCGTGGACATACAGAAACTGTGCACATTTATCTACACGTATACCAACGTGCGCGAATAAGACGTTTATCCATATACAATGAATGGCAGATGACAATCGCTATGCACTGTCTAGAAGGACGGATTTGACATTATATGCTAACTGAACTTTCGTGCTAAAATTCAAAAGGGAGGATGTAACGGACCATACCAAATGGAACTATTCATTTGTGGGAAATTAACTTTAGATTTTATTGGATCCTTTGCGTCAAATGTTATTGCATGTGGTTATAAGAAAATGTTAAGTATTGTGCATTGAATATTGAATACGTGACTTATGAAAAGTATATCTATATTCAGCCTGTCGGTCTTATAATTATTAGTTATTGATATTTAACTATACGATTATTGGTACAGGAACAGTGTACTTAGCTTTTGTAAATATAAAGACGTGAAACTGATTATATGCATTAAGGAAGATTCTTAATTATTTTTTCGGTATGTTTTTGTCTAATCTGGTTTGAATTTTATATAAAACAATTCTCTTATAGCCATCAACAAGGGAGCGCTACAGTGTGGATAAATATGATGATGAACAAGTACTTCATCATGAACGATGCGCTGGTCGCAACGTTGTGGTGACTGCTGTTCATTGGACAGGGAGCGATCGGCCTTATTGAAATGAAGGAAGCGGCGCGGGTAATAACAGAACAGCAGTTCAATTAATAACAAGAAAGATAATATCTGAGTTGTATTTGCTACCTCGCGTAACATGACGAAGACAAGCCAATAACTTCGTCACAGAAACATTCCACAGCAGACTATTTCTGGACAATTTCTTCCAGTATGGGCGCCGACCAAAAGCTTAATGACTTGCATAGGGAGTGCCCTGCCTTGAAGAGCCAGGTTCAAAGTAAATGAAAATGAAGATACGTATGAGATTTCTTTCAGGGCCACGAGACCGGTCTAATATTCACATGTATAACGCTCTGTCCAATTCTCTAGTAGAGGGAGGGTTTAGTGCTCTCTAAAGAATCAAATATGACTGGAAGCCAAGTTTGGAACACAGTATGCTTTAGTTAACAAACATTTGACAATAGTTTTAGAGGGGGCACATTTTGATGATGTCGAGGTATCTTTTAACCACTGGATGGGAGGGTGACAATTGCTTAAAGCGGCCCAATTTCTAACTGGAAAATTGATTTAGTTTTCACTGATTGACATATCCAGGGAAAATGCCTGGCCACTTGTATAGTGAAGTGCTTTTAATGTATTTCATTTTGATATGCATTTAACTACGAATAAAATTCAAGAATTTTCCTCTGGTGCTGATTTTATTTGTTTGTCAGTTTTGGCTGAAGTCATCATCATCATCATCATCATTTATAGTAAACTTTATTTGCTGGGAGAGATGCTTCTCCTTTGAGGGCAGTTCGACTTTAAAATATTTAAAAACCTTAGATCAAGTTGCCCAAACAGTGAATGTGGACCCTTCTTAACTGCTTAATTAATAATTGAGAAGACAACTTTCAGCATGACCAGTGCATATACAAAAGGGTGAATAAAATTTCACATGGAACAGTATTCAGTAAATAAAATGGGTTTTAAATGTGAATTTTTGTTTGTCACACAGATTTAAAACTCTTTTGCACCCTCAAAAAGAGAAATTTTAATTTTGAATGGATTAGTTAACTATATTAAATAATAGTAATGAAACTGAAAGTATCTTATTTAAAATAATTTCATATCTTAGAGAGAGTAACAACACTAGTATATATAGAGATTTATAAATCTTAAGCTGAAAATAAAAAAGAGTGGGAGAGAGAGAGAGTAAAAAAGAAAACGCCGATCTTAATACTATGAACAAAGCAGCAATGAATGATTTTTTTAAAATCAAAACACTTTAAGTCTTTAAAATTAAAACCTGGCGATAGACCTATTTTTCAATGTTAATGTTTAGCCAAATACCTGCATTTACAAAGTATTGCTTAAATGTAGACAAGCAATGTCATTTTGCATAAATATTTGCCAAAGTTCACAGGATTTCTTGTGGAGTGAATCATAATAAACCATTGACACTGAAATTAACGCAATGATATTCATGGTTTAAAGCATTGTAAAAAAGCATTGTATGACTAGTAAACTTTCAAAATGTTTCATAATGATGAAATCAATAGCAGCAAACACATTTCCCTTACCTTCTGTCGGTTGAATGAACTTGAATGTCTTAACTTTGCCTCTCAAATCTCCCACCACCAGCTGGCCAGCAGGGTTGATGGCTAATGCACTGGGTAACTTCAACCCACCATCCTTAGTGACAATGTATCTGATAAACTGTCCCTGTGGACTCAGTGCCACTATCCTGTGATTATCACAGTCAACAACGAAGATGTGACCATAGCTGTCTGTGTACACTCCATGTGGTGACTTCAGCTTACCAACACCTCTGCCGTGTGTACCGTACTGCCACAGCTGATCACCAGTAGGTGACAGCACATGTACACAGTGTCCCAACCAGTCTGATAGCACAATGTTATCATTCACACTGTTCACTGTGATGTACGCTGGGTCTCCACACATACTGAGTGGAATAGTGTTCAGGAGCTGTCCACTGTCTGCATGGAATGTGAAGATAGACCTCTTTCCTCTGTCACATACCATCACATGACCTTGTCCGTTAAGTGTGATACCACATGGAACCTCCAGTAGACCATGACCCATGGTTGTCACCTGCTGACCTCTGGTGGAGTACACTTTGACACATTTGTCATCAGTTGATGTTATATACAGTTGACCAGTCTGTGACACAGCCACATCCCATGGTCTGTTTAGTTTAATGTCAAACTTAAATTGCCCTTTATGTGTGAATACTTTGGTTCTGTTGTTTCCATAATCCACAACAAATAGTTGCTCCTTATGTATGGCTAAGCCGGTTACATGCATGAGGGTTCCCCTATCATCTTCCAGTTTAGCACTGAAGGAATGCATACATTCAGCCTTCTCTAAGGAAACGGGATGATGTGGAGGTTGTGTCTGTACTGTCACCTGTCCTGATCTTGGATTTACACCTTGTCTAGACTGCCCTAACATGGCTTCCTTTCCGGTAGTAGATCTCATACCTGGGCTGTAGGATTTATTTGAAGACATGTCTGGTGCTGACACAGGTGTCTTCTCCATTGCCAAGCCTTTACCAGAGGTTTTTATTTGATCCAGACGCCATATCTGTCCGACTGTTTTCAAATTAAAAAAATATGTATAGATCTCCAGACACCTAGCTATAACCGTGGTTCCTTTTGCGTGCAATTTCTCAGTCACAAAAATTGTGTCAGTAATTGTTAAAAAAATACCTGTTTACTTCTGACGTTGTAGCTTTGAATAATAGCGATCACAGTAACGTTAGCACACACTTAAAGCAGGTAAATATCAGGACAGATTTTCTGTCAGAAGTATTTTCATCGTAATCTCCACAGCTGGAATCCTTTTACTTCCTCTATTCCATTCTGAAACATTAAAAGTAAGACAAAAGTTACCTGACATTGAACCGACCTTCGCATAAGTCAGGTTATCTATATAAAGATATACCCATTGTTCGGTGTCTGTTGACGTAGTTGCATTGTGTTTAATGTCACGTTCAGGTCAATATAGGAGAAATAGGCCCATGAATATAAATATGTGTCTCCCCTGCTATGAAAAAAACACATCCATTATTGTTGGGACATCTATTGTAGACAGAATAATAATAATAATAATAATAATAATAATAATAATAATAATAATAGTTTATAATAATTTAATAATATATCATACAAGATAGCAACCAGAAAGTTGAATTTGTAAAAATATGTGAGTGCAGAAGTAAAAAAAAAAAACATTACAATAAAAGATAATTTGAATATAAACGCAGACCTCTGAAAGTAAATGAAGACAATTGACCTGCATGGCATAGACTGAGAAGGGCGCTGTAATCAGCCACAAGAAAGCGTTATCAAGTCATGCTTGTGTTTGGAGTGTGGGGGTACAGTGACACTTCAGGTGCTAAACACCGTATACCAAGGATGAGCAAACACTGAACCAATCGTACATGCTGCTAGCGATCTTAGCTTTACGAAAGTCTTGATGACGAACAATTATTTGTGCTGAACAGTGTCGGAAAAAGGCCCATAATCCTAACTTAAAATTGTGACTAGCTAAATCATAGTGCAAAACCGTAACAAATAGCATTTCCACATTATCAAAAGTGAAACTTATGGGAAAATACTGACGTATTAACCCCTTTCAGCTGACTTAAAAAGCAGCTAGCAGGTCATACAGAATATCCATCACGTGATATTGTTAACGCAATTGCATTGTGTATACCACCACCCCTGGCCTAGGTAAGAAGAAAAACATGCAGGTGTTTATTTTGCTTTGTGTGTAAGTATGTGGAGGAAACTTCCCAACTGCCGCTGTTAAGTTGTCAGGTGATTCTAACATACAACATTGGTCAAAAATGTTGTCCCACCCCATTCCCATGTACTTTAATTTACAAATGATCACTTCACAGTTCTAAATTGTTAGAAATAGTGTTTTTATTCCAGATACCATGTCGAACATCATTAATGGTTATAAAAATACAAAATGGTGGTAAAAATACACACATTTTATTCCATTTAGTAAAATTTATATCAGGTACCCCCTCAAATCCAATGTTTCACTTTGATTTCTACAGATGTAAAAAATGCCTATTAAATTGAAAATACGCCATCAAAAGTCACCAAATTTACACACAATTAGCATTAGGTTGTGCTCGTTAAAGGTCACTTGCCTAGTGGCGTGTGCATCTACCGCGTACTGCAATTATCTCCTGTAGGCGGCGCGACAAGCCTTCAAAAAGGGTAACAATTTTGTGTTTAGGGGGATATTGTCCCATTCTCCCTCAATAGCTTGGATGAGTTGGTCCAGATCATTAGGAGTTTGGTTCTCCTCTGCATTGCACACTTCAATTAATGTCACAGGTGATTAGTGGTTCCATCCTTTGAACATTGTGTTTCTGCAACAAATCGCTTGCCAGGCGAGCAGTGTGAGCAAGTGTGCTGTCATAATGGAGCCTGGGGTTAACCCCAAAGTCAGTTCTTAAAGATGGAGTGAGAATGCTACGTTTAGTGATCCCACAGGCACCTGAACCTGGCCATACATCACTAGAAGGAAGTTGATTTTGCTGCAGAATCAAGTTATTTCTTGTATCCATTCAATGGCCAAATATCAGTCCGTAGACATGTTGAAAAATGCCTCTTGGAAGGGTGTGTGCAGCATAATATCGCCTGAGGTGTTAGATTAGTCCGAATTTGTAGATCATTCCAAGCCCATGGTATTAGTACATTGTTGCCTCTGGCACAAAACACAACCGGAGCATTTTACTGTAACATTCTCAACAGATAGCTCACTCCATTTGCAAGAAGTGACTTCAGGGATGCTACCGGCTTCATTGTGACAACGCACTTGCTGACAGCTCTCGTCTGGCAAGTGATTTGTTGCAGAAACACAGGGCTCTGAGGATGGGACAACCGTCTTTGAGCCCTGATGCTAATCCTACTGAGCACCTGTGGCCATAATTGGAATGTGCATTACAGAGACAAACCAATTCCCAAATAATTTCGACCAATTCCGCCACGCTCTTTGGGATAAAATGGGACAAAATCCCACGAAACAGAATTGTTACCCTTGTTGAAGGCTTGTCGCGCCGCCTACAGGAGATAATTGCAGTACGCCGTGGACGCACACGTTGTTGGGCACGTGACCTTTAACGAGTACATCCTAATGCTAACTGTGTGTAAATTTGGTGACATCTGAAGGCATCCTTTTAATTAAATAGACATTTCTTTACATCTGCGGAAATCACAGTGAAGCATTGAATTTGAGTGGGTGCCAGTTATAAATTTTACTAAATAGTATAAAATGTGCATATTTTCGCCACTATTTTTTATATTCTGAACCATTTATCATGTTAGACACGGTATCTTGAATAAGAGGCAACGTTTATAACAATTTACACCTGTGAGGTGATCATTTGTAAATATAAGTACATAAAAATGGGGGTGGGACAACCTTCTTGACCAATGTTGTACATGCAACTGTCGAAAAGTTACCTCGTATATATGTTATACTGTGCATTTCTTAGATATGTTTAAGTGGGTAAAAGCTGGAGATAATTACTTATTTATTCATAAAGCCTGATTAAGCTTAAAGGCGTAGTATTCCATCATAAAATGATAATATTAATATAGACGTATGTTAAGATACTTCATGGTATATTACCACTTCATGGGATAAATGCTCTGATTTTACTGTCAAATCGACTTCATAGGATAAATTGCGACTTCATCTCCACATAAGATATTGCCTGCGACTTCATGGGATAATGGTGAAAAAGTACCTGTTGTTGGCCCAACGTTATGAGAGANAAAATGATAATATTAATATAGACGTAAGCAATTAACACAAAACAAGTAAATGTGTCTCTTGAGGATTTAAAGGAAAATGTGGAAATTACAGAAAAATTAATGAAATGCTGAATACAGGTCTATCGCGCACTAGATACCATGCACACCCAGAGATCTTATGCTACCATTGCGATATACTCTTTATTCTGGGGTGTTTTCTGTGAAATTCAGGTTCTTTCTTTCATGTAACATGATACAAAACCACCCTAGCAAGTTATATGGCAAAACAACTTTGATGCTTAAGGCATTACGGAATTTATTGTTCTGTTGATAGAGTGTTATGTTCGACATTCACCGACTGTCATAGTGTCATTCTGCATCCATAAGAGTAGACAGATTTAATCTGTCACAGTGCGTTCTCTCCAAAGAGCATCACTGCACCCAGCTCTGATTTCAATGAATTCCCAGGTTATCTTGGTTATAGAGGTTAACTTACTTTTTATCCCCGTCTACAGGTAAACAGAAAATGAAATCATAGCCTGCATATCTTTACCTACAGGTGTCAGGGTCAGTTAAATACATTTTACTTCTATGGAATATACTCTACAGTGAAGTTATTTTGAGAAGACTGCCTTTGCAACGGCCTTCTTGGCCTTGAGTTACACAATGTCAAATTATTCGAGACGTTCCGTTTTTCGGTACAAGTTTCCTTTTTGTAACACCATGTACATGTACAGTCCACCTGCAGCATTAATGATTCATGGAAATGATGTAACTGTAGTTATGTTTCCAACTTAGTTTGCGTATCTCCTTGCGTATCTCCTTATAACCTTGTATGTGAGAGGCACATGACTTTAAAGTACATTGGTAACAGATCGTTTCCACAGTTTTAGAACGGTTTACAAGTTAAGACTTCCATTATTATGATAAATTTTCACAAAGTCGGCGCTGTCCTTGCCATCAAGAGCACTATTCATACAAATGGTGAACGTTCAACTAAAAACCCTGTAGCGGTATCTTTCTTTCATATTTTATGTATGTAGAGAATTTGTTAAAACTACAAATATTTTAGAAACTTATCTGAAAAGACAAAGAAGTCATACCTAATTCATATTTTGAGAGTTTTAGAGTTTTCTTATAGTGCATGCGGTGCACCAGGCGGCTATAAGCATGATAGAAACCAGATCTGGAGAGTGACCAGGCGTGACTATGGCAAAATATAAGTTTCTCTTTGCCTCTCTCTGTTTTTTTTTTTTTCAATAATGTATCTGCTGAAATTCATTCGCCCTTTTGAAACATCCAGATCGATTGCGGCTGTAATTAATTCGCCCTTTTAAAACATCCGGATCAATTGCTGTGCACGTTTGATTTCAGATAACAAAGACAATAACAACATGAAGGGAAAAAACGCGAAAAGCAAATAAATAATCCCCTGACCCCATAACCTGCCAAAGCCTACAAAGCTGAATGGACTTATTGAATGATTCATAAAACTCGCATTCTCTTCTTTTCTGTCCTGAAATACGGGATACATACATAATCCATACCGGCAGGGTGAAACGGAGTACGGAAAGTCTTTTCATTTAGCCAGATAAAAATCTAGTGAAAAAACTCTCTGTGGTCCCATTGCCCCGTGTGGTTGAGAAAACATTGATGTGTGGGCATTCCACAGCATGAGAATGAAGGGAACCAGTGATCTCTTACTAACGATTATTGTGGAAGATAGAATAACACAAACAGGTGAATTAATGTTCTTTTCATATCCAGTGGTCCATTTCACTGGTACAGCCAGGACCTTCTTTCAAATGGAGTACGGAATTTTAGCGAGATACATAAGAGTCGTGTATAAATATGTGTTCAGTTCAACAACACAAAACCTCGTGTAGTAATTGCAAATATTGATCTACCATATTGATCTAGCAGATTGTCAGTTATAGTTAAAATTGTAAATAACAGATGGGTGAGGATGGATGTTTGAATCAAGTGCGTTTAAGAACACAGTGCCATGATCGAAAAAGTTTTAAAAGTTACCAGAAGGTGGACAGCTGGTCAAACGCACTTCCCCTTAGAAACATTTCGAGGTCTAGTAGCATTTCCCCCTAAGGACGGGGAAAAATGCAGTCACTTCAGTATCTACAAACGTTTGGTAAAGATGCAGAAATGAAAATTAACATTCTATATCAAATATTTACTGCTAACGTTTCAACCCCCTTTACGCTGGACGGCGTCCTTTCTGCGTCCTTTGTGCGACCATGAAACTGGCCAGGACGCCGTCAGACGCTCAAAGAACGCACAAGGTGGACAGCTGGTCAAACGCACTTCCCCTTAGAAACATTTCGAGGTCTAGTAGCATTTCCCCCTAAGGACGGGGAAAAATGCAGTCACTTCAGTATCTACAAACGTTTGGTAAAGATGCAGAAATGAAAATTAACATTCTATATCAAATATTTACTGCTAACGTTTCAACCCCCTTTACGCTGGACGGCGTCCTTTCTGCGTCCTTTGTGCGACCATGAAACTGGCCAGGACGCCGTCAGACGCTCAAAGAACGCACAGTGATCGCCAAGGTCGCACAAAGAACGTTCAAGCATCGCCGAGGACGCCATGGACGCTGCGAAGTTTTGAGCATGTTCAAAACAATTGCAGAAAGAACGAGATGGAGGATGGTCGCTCAATGGACGCAGAAAGGACGCACAAGCATCGCCGTGGTCGCAGAGAAGACGCTCAAGCATCGCCGCGGTCGCAGAGAGGACGCAAAAGCATCGCCGCGGTCGTAGAAAGGAGGCGCAAGCATCGCTTTGGTTTCAGAATGAAAACTCAAAGATCGTCCAGTGTTCGGCACGTAGAACATTATTATTTTTCACTCTCAAACAGGGCCTTGCTGAGGTATTTTTTACCAAAAAGGAATTCTAAGGGTAACAGTGGTCTCATTTCAGCCTCCGATTGTTTTTCCCCTAAAATTCATGAAACGATCCATTTTTTGGGGGGTTATTATAAAACGAATATTTTGCCTTTTTACAAGATGCATTAATTGTCAGAACTTTTTGCAGAATGCGTCATTTGAAAACGGATTCAAATATTCTATGTTGTGTCAGTCACACTTTCTTGTTTTCGGCGCCTGTCCATCCTTCTTATAAGGATAACATTGAGCATCTGGCTGATTATCAGTCCATGCAGACCTTGCATCACTATAGTTTAAAGCGTTTATTCCCATTTATTTGTTTTGTGTACTGGAAATGTTCTTTATTGGATAACCTGGTTAGAACCTATGAAAAAATATGAGTTAGAATATAGAGAAGGACGCCCAAACAACGCTCATCGGTCAAGCAGGATGCAGAATGATCGTAGAATAGACGTCACTGATCACCGATGAAGGTACAGAGAACGCAGCAAGAATGCTCAATGGTCGCTCAAACATCGCAATGGACGCATTGGGTTGCACAGGGGACGTGCAGTGGAGGCAGGCAGGTTGCTCGCAGTTTTACAGGTAAAATCAAGATTCGGTCGTTCAAAGGACGCACAAGGGACGCAGACGCCTTTACACTGAGACACGATTTAATTGCTTTGGCGACCGTTGAGCGTCCTGACCACATTTTAAGGGACGCAGAAAGGACGCCGTCCAGTGTAAAGGGGCCCTTCACTTCACGTTTCACTTTGGGTAGAGTTGGCTCTGGGCCACAATCAACATACAGAAAGGTCCCACTACCAGCAGTGCATAATGTTATAAATGACTTTTCCAGTCGGACTCAAATCCGACTGTACCAATTTTGTTTTGGGTGATATTTTACAAAGTGCGTCGAAAAAATTAAATAAATAACTGCACGTTTCAAAACAATTCGGGGTGTGAGAATATTATCATACACGGTCTCGGTGTTTGATTTGATAAACGATTTTTTTAATTGAAGATTAATCTTTAACACTATAGTGGTATACCAAGGTGAATATGATGTAATGCCCCAGAAAATTGACTTCATAAGCAATACTGAAATCTATATTCTGTATCAAAATCAGATTGAGAGTGTGCTTGATTGTTGTTTATATTCTCGTTTTCATATTCAGTAGTGCCATTATTGTCACAGAATCACTTATCAAAACATAAGGCATACGGGAATGATAACTGACTGTTCAACTAAAATCAAAAATTAAACGAAACTTACCTGTAAATTGAAGTTTGATGAGAATTCTACTTATCAGCTGACGAAATGGAGAGATTACATGAGATGCGCACGCATATCTACCCAGAATGCAAATTTTAAAGCTTGTTTATTGGTACAAGGAAAAAAGAAATGGAGATTTGGGAGGGCTAGAGCCACAGTTTCGGCAAAATTTGCCAATACTTACCGCGATAAGTAAGGCAATGAATGTCCTTCACCGCAGAAAGGGACCAATACTATGAAATTAATAGGCAAAAACGCGATTTTGCATCAGCAAAATTCGTTCACTGCTCTGGGTAACCATTATGCAGCGCTAATTGCATTCTGGGTAGATATGCGTGCCCATCTCTCCTTTAACCACATGTGGCCTACCACCCGTCAGTCCGTTCATTGTGTTAGTTGAGGAAACTGGATGACACAGAGTTGCTGCAATGGGACTCCGTTTCCTTAAAACAGAATACGCAATATAAATACCCTAACATAAATAATAAAACAATATATAACCCATATATCAAAATAAATAAACGCGCTTATAAACGACTTTACGGCTGATAATTAAGTATGCTGTTATTCGCCCAGAACAACTGATAAAAATGATCACACTTATTTTGAAACGCGAAAAATCTGATTATTATATAAAATAACCAAACACACGACCCATTATATAATGTAAAGCAAATAAAACAACGCAGTGTGCCATACACATTCTTTGTTAAGTATGAGATAAGCCGTATATTCATTAACAGTGGGGAATGTCGTCTTCTACACGTTTCATATTCAGTAGTGCCATTATTTTCACAGAACCTTTTAACAAAACATAAGGCATACGGGAATGATCACTGACTGTTCAACTAAATCAACATTAATCTTGATTCGATCTTTCTTTCCCCTTTAACTACATGTGACCTTCCACCCTTCACCCTGTTCACTGTGTTAGTTGAGACAACTAGATGAGACAGAGCTGCTGTAATGGGACTCCGTTTCCTTAAAACAGAATACGCAATATAAATATAATTACCCTAATATAAATAATGAAACAATAAATAACCCATATATTAAAATAAATAAACGTGCTTATAAACGACTTTAAGGCTGAGAATTAAGTATGCTGTTATTCGCCCAGAACAACAGATAAAAATGATCACACTTATTTAAAAACGCGAAAAACCTTATTATTAGCTTAAAATAACCAAACACAAGACACATTATATAACGTTAAGCAAATTAAACAACGCAGTGAGCCATATAAACTCTTTGTTAAGTAGGAGATAAGCCGTAAGGTCCATTAACATTGAGGAATGTCGTCTTCTACAAGCACGAACGTAAATTATAGACGCTAGCGCTGTAATTTAAAATGCTTCTATTGCTTGGGGGCCTCGAAAATATTTCTGCGGCATGGAACTACTACTTTCATATTTTTTCCCAAGCGTTGGTATTTCTTGGATATGTTTTCTGTGTTTTGGTTATGGTTTATATTTTGAGCGAAGTCATTCGTTTGGAGACGCACTCCCCAGAATATATTTCGCAAATGCATCTCCTGTATCGCACCAACTAACAAATCAAATATTTAGAGAGGGCAATGAGACGTCATGCATTGTCCGGCCCTGATAGTAGAGCTAGGTGCTCTGGGAGTGCCACTGAGCGTCCTCAGGAAAAGAAGAACAGCAATGGACATGGACTACGTAAGATTGAATGTGGACTTGGCCAAGCACGATTAAACTGAAGTACATGTCCCTGGAGTGTCAGGTAGGTAAAAGACATCTGGAAACTCATCGATATTATCAGCCTGCATCTGTCGTTTCCAGTAGAGCCATGAATTTCAGAGATTTTCCGTTTGCACAAAGACATGTGATTATTTTATTTATGATCAATGCAGCTAGCAACCTTATTTAGAAAGGTGAAAGAAGAGGTTTGTTTATTGTGTCACGTTTTACATCGATATATCATATTGAGACTCCTTAATGTCCGATTAAAGTTAAATGGCCATAAAGCCAAAATCAGACTAGAATAATTCATATAAAACTGGCAAAATATATAGTAATTTATATAAAAGGCAAACATTGACACATTTGGCCCTAAGACATTCCAAAAAATCTGCCCCTAGCGAAAGAAAGGTCCCCGGATTCCATGAGTCATGTATATACATGTATAGGCATAGAAGCCAAGGAGGGAGGGGTGTGGGTTTGGGGGGGATTGACACCCCTCCTCTTTTCATCCACATCAGTCAAAATAAGGCTGGTGTAAGGATCCTGTCTTTTTAAAGGCAAATATGATATTATATAATCACGGTGTAATATTATAAAAGGTATATAAAAGGTACTTACTTCTCGACTGTATATTTTTGATAGGGCGGTGGAAAATGAAGTATCACTGAAACTTAGTGGAGGAAAAGCGTGTTACGCACACACGTACAGCTTCACAACCACGCACGCACACACACACACACCTACACACACACACACACACACACATTCCTATGCATTCCAATGATTTAAATCCCCACCAGGCAACAGATAACAAATTATCTAATCTTGCTATATCGTTATTCACATCATCATGCTTTGACATTCCCGCCAGGAGAATTACGCAAACTTGAGCGGGTTAGGATACGACATGAAATATGGCACTGCACTCAACACAATTCAGAACACGAGGTCAATCTTACGTCTAAATGAAAGCGAAGCTGACGTAGTTCAAAACTGCTGTATATGACAAAAATTGCAAACCAGAAAGGATACTATTGGGACTACACCTTAACCATGATATGTGACTATCAGTAGATGTATATTTGTATTATTCATTGCAGTAAGCATGGATAACTATGCGATACGATTACCGCTGGATCCACATAGGCTGTGTGTGTGTCACCATTCTGTTATTTACATACAATATATGCAACTTACGTCAGTTGAATGACACAAATGGCAAATATGTACTTTTATTTCCTGTTTGTGACTTGTTTTGTAGTCGTCACAACAGCAAAGGAGGAGACCAATCAACAGCTGATTCTGACAACAGTATCGAGATCACCGTCAGCTTCGCACGATAAAAGAGAAGCTTTGAAGAGCTTAACACTTTTAAACAGGGATCTGGTTAATAAGCGAATAATGACAAAGGTCACTATAAAACAGGAAGCAGACAGAACGCTAGTTGAAAGCGTGTCTAAGAGTGGTGACATTCAGAGCCTTATTGCAGTGGATGAAGATGTCACTGTTTTCATCCAGAATGTCACGGCTAATGACACCAAAGGCTACACTGATAAAGTATTAAAGAACAACACATACGGCGACAAATACAGCTCCGCAGCTTCCCCTGCCACCGTCACAGCACACAATACCACACGCGACGTTCCATCTTACGTCACGGACACTCATTACGACCACGTCACAGAGGAAACCACCTCAAGTAGCAAAGTTTCAGTCCCTACTACCAAAATTACTTCTAAAACTGTCAAAATTACAATGGAATCTTCATCTTCCTACTACACAACTACACCAGTGTCGGACAAAAGCACAAGGAAGTCCATTTCACCTAATTCCACCAGAGTCGGAATATCGACGACACAAACATTGGTGACGTCACCAGTAACACAACCGTCCATGACATCACCAATAACCACAACTGAAATAACATCTGACACTGTCAAACTAACAACAAAAACTTCAACTTTCTACGACAAGAGCACACCGGTGTCTGACAAAAGGACCAGTCAGCACAGCTCTCCTGCTTTCAGCACAGTCAGGAAATCGAGGACACGTGCATCAGTGACGTCACCAGTAACACGACCGCCCATGACATCCTCAATAACCACGACTGCTGACGTCTGTGACGGCATGTGTAACCAGGGCCAGTGTATCTTGCTGAAAAATGTGTGTGAATGTGGCAAATATTTTCACGGGACGTTCTGCCAATTCCTCCACTTAGATCTTGTGGACTACACCGTGTATGGTACGTCAATAACAATACATTTACCAGAACCACTTCCTTTCAATAATTTTGTATTCAAATACTATGAAAAATACAACCCAAGACCGGACGTTATGGAGCGTAACGTCACATCGTCTACAACGCCTGTTTCGGAAGTAACTCTCTCTGGTTTAAAAGGCGGAATGGTCCAGTACATCATTTGTATAATGAGTAAGGGTGCTTCCGAAGAAGAAACGGCGTCTCCGCACCAACTATTTGACTTGTTTCAAGAAAACAGTGCTTGCCTAACTGTCAAAACGGGTTTCAGCAAATCGGACCCATACACCGTGGCCTTTTACATAACGGGGACCCTCCTCGTGTTTGTGCTAGTGGTGATATTTCTGGCACAGTGTGAGTAAATTTGCACATATTTAGTACATCTGTTATTTTGTACCCAGACGTCCTCGAGTGAGCATGTAGTGCCTAATTCATAACTGGTTGTAAAAATCGTCCACTTTTCTTTGTTATTCAATGTAGTAGAATTACATATTCAATATTTCAGATTGATGAAACTTAATACTCTCGTTCATTTATAATCAATACCGTTTCTCCAAAAACCAAAGTTATCTCCGATCATGCCGCCTTCTATATTTCAGTTGTACTAGATCTTGACCGGACTATAGAGAGGAACTCTCAGAAAACCTCCGCACTACAGAAGCTGAAGAAAATGTCTCGGCGATTCACGAAGCGCCACGCAGGGGGCAAGGAGTTCCGGAAACCCCAACCAACTGCCTTGGCCACGGTCAGCCCCCCTCCACATGAGGAATACCACCCAGATTTGAGTACAGACACCTCAGACATCGATGGCAGTGGGCCGGTAAAAATGCTTAGACGTTTCTCCAAGCGTGTGGTGTCAGGTCGCAAAGCCAGTCAAAACTATCCCCTGGTGCGCATGACTAGACTTGGTCAAAAGTCACGTCCGTCTGAGGTGGGGACAAACCAGAGAGAGATGCAAGCACATAGGGCGGTGCCACCCGCCAAGCCACCAAGGAAGGGTCCCATAAATTCGAGGCCAAACTCAACCAAGCCGCCTCGAAAAGATCCGATGAAGTTGAAGCCAGACTCCGGCGGGTGTTACCCGGCCTCTGTCTACTTGGAAAACGAACA